GGATCTTCTAGCTGTGAGGCGACAGTGCAAACCACCGAGCCACCTCAGGTGACATCATTTCCTTAAATTAGTTTGATTTGATAAACTATGGCAGTTTGATCATCAATGCATGATTGAATGCATAATAATAATAAACCTTATTTTAATCTAATAAATGCTAACATACTGTATATTGGAGCAATTAAATGAGATCTCACATTTCTACATCAAAAACAAATAAATAAACCATGTCAGTGTTTTAGCACAATTACTATAAAAATGGACACTACAATAACAAAACAACAAAACTGTAGCGACGTTCTTGTTAAACTGAGATAACAGTTTTACCTCAGTTTAACAAGCACAACACTGTCTCGCTACAGATTTGTAACCGTACACAGAGCAAATTACAGATTCTGTGTGTGTTTAATTGAGAACTTTATGTGGAACAACATGATGCAATACACGCTGTTGCCGTAAGTTTCAATGTTTCTGGAAAATCCCTGCAGGGCAATCAGATTGCTTTGACAATGCTGCTATAGAGGAGAGGGGTTAAGATGTAGACAGAAGGAGGCGATAACATAATCAATAAAAAGGCAGTGGATTAGCCTCGGTGGTTTTGTGTTTGTGGGGGTGCTTGTCCAGCTATCTTTGTGAGGACCAGTTTGACTTTCAGAGAGAGGACATGTTTGAAAACTGAGGATCTTTTGGCTGATCTTCACTTTTTCACACCCCTTCAAAGGGCTTTTTGAGGGTTATGGTTAGAATTGGGTTTTGGTTGGATTAGAGTTAGCAAACCTCAAGATTTTCAAAATCCTAGCAGATTTTGAAATTAGGTTGCATCACACGCTTAGATAGAACCTTCACGTATATCCTCCTCTCTAATCTTTGACATACGCTGCACTGCAAGATATGGAAGTAGTTTTAAATCACATACTAAGGATGTCATTGGGATTGTGATGCTGTAGAGAGCATTCAGGGGCAGTGCGCCACCTCATGGCATCTCATGGGGACGTAGATGTACGGTAATTTCCGGACTATAAGCCGCTACTTTTCCACACACTTTGAACACTGTGGCTTAAACAATGATGCACCTAATTTATGGATTTTTACGATTTTTACAAATTTGCCTTGAGACAAAAGTGACATTGAGAGCGACAACGAAAGAGAGACTGAGGAAGTGTGTGATGAAGTAATTCTTAGGCTGTTCAATTCCGACACTGACGAAGACGACTTTAGTGGTTTTAGTGTCCAAGAGGAAGATGAAGATAGCGATCAATGACTTTTCCTGGTAGACTGCTGTATTTTTTATTTTTGTAACCAGCTGTGTTACAGGCATTGTTTGGAAAAAAGCATTTACGGTACGTATTTGTGTATGTCACTGGTGTGTATTTAATTAAAAGTTTAAAAAACCTTTCTATGTAACATCTTTCTGTGTAAATATCTCATGTTACAACATGGACAAGTGCAGCCTATATATATGTACAAATAGTTTTTTCTTTTTAAAGTTAGTGGGTGCTGCTTCTACTCAGGTGCGCTCAATAGTCTGAAAATACGGTAAATGAAATGGAGACTAATAACTTTGCAGTGAGAAAAAAAGAAAATCTGAAGACTAAACAAGTTTGGAAAACAAAATGGTTAGGAGAGATGTGATTGTCTATTCTTTAGTAGGATCTGGAGGTAAGATTTTAAGTACTAGTTTTAATATTTTTAGCTAATGCTAGCATCAAGAGGCTAAAATGTTTGGCAGGACTTGGCAACAGCATCTGCTGCTCTGGATGGCAGTGGTCATCATGTATTGTAATGTTAATCATCCTGATTTAAACACATAAATATTAAGCATATTTGATATTAATTGGGTGCCCCCAGTGATTCTGTGACCACTGGATTTGTAAACCCATGTAAGCATATAAAAATCTGTGTCAAACATCAGCTCAGGCCAAGGCCAAGATTTCTCCTTATAATGTGGGGAGGGAGTGAAATGTAGATAAATCAGCCCCAAAAATCCCTTACTACCAGCCAAGCTTAACCACTGGGGTTAAACAATTAGTTGTGGTGGCTAAGTTTAGGTTAAGGGGTGAGAAAATGCATTATATCACAACGATAGCTGTACAAATGTGTGTGTGAATGTGTGTGTAGGAGGATGTAATCACAAAGTCCAGCCACTACTCGATGTCTTTATTTGCATCAGAACATTAAACAATCCATTATTCATTCAAATAGTATTCAAAATTTAAAATTTGACTGGTAAAAATAAATAAATATTTATTTGTGTAAATATATCACACTTGATAAATAATTAATTCAAAGAGGTCTCTTTTCATATATAATGCATCATGCCCAAACATTCCAAGCGCCTTTGGCTCCGCCGTAATTGGGAGCGTTTTCTTTCATCGGGCATCCTGCGCCGTTCGGCGTCGGCTAAACAAATCGCATGCAAGCGCGCATATGCACACACACCAGGGTGTCAACCGTGGTGGTAACACGGTCGCAGGATTGATTGACACCTGAGGGTGATAATGACAGAGTGACAGCTATGTCCAAGAGAATGAAATTTGTCATCTCCTCTGGGTCAAAAGCTGCCATAGTGAGAATCTGTCACTGCTGTAGGGAAGCACGGAGGCACAATCTCAGCCAAACACAATGTGTGCGGCAATTTGAGCTACAATTCATTACATTTGCTCTGGTACAGATGACACCTCTAGACAATGAAAAGAACCCACTGAGAATGGATGTTGAATGAATTGAATTCCAAAGATTCTCTCTCCCCGTGTACTACATGAAAAAAACTGGTTCACCAGTAATTGCTGCAGCTTTTTTTTCTCTCTTTTAGCAGTGAATAAAATAACTTGCATGCATGTTCATGATGTACCTTCCCCTCTATGGTCTTCATTTTCTTCATTCTATCTGTGCTCTCCGTCTAAATCACTGCTCAGGTGCTTGACCTACTTGTAGCTATAGAGAGGAGGAAATTATTCGACACCAACCCATTATCATGTCGCCGTTACACCACAGATGAGTTGTCTTGCCTTCTAGCGGGATGTCTCACACTGAGACCTTGTATTACCTTGTGTTCCGATGTTCCAGCCCTTCCTGGAACAGCATCTTAAATATCTTTTGCTGCGGGCACAGATAACAAAGTTTCCCTTTTAGCCGTTAATGTTTAATGACATTTAGATAGAAAAACGCGTCATTTTCTTGTCAGATCTGCTGCTGTGAGGTCTGGATATCACGAGTAGAGTTTTTAATCCTTGTCCAAAAATTCTGTGTATTTAGCAGAGTAATGTATTAAGTACTAGTTGTGGTGCAATCCTTGGGAACTCAGGCATGCGTTGATACACATGCCACATAAACCTGTCAACCTGGTGGATGTTGGAGTACTTGTCCCTAGCAGTGTTTTGCAGAAGCTGCAGTGAGTAGTTTCTTTGACCTGATTTCCTGTGACAGGAATTACTCGAGCATCCACTCTCACACACACACACACACACACACACACAATCCATCTCCCAGCCTGCCTTTCCCTCATTCTCTTTCAAGCTCGATCTGTTGCTCCTCTGCTACCATCACCCAGTGAACCTCACCTGCTTCTCCTGTTTTCTTTTTTATCTCCACATTCCCACGTTTTTGACAGCCGTGGTGAAATAATAGCTCCAAAATCTCCCAGAGAAAATTCTGCGCGCTATATTATACCCGTACATGTTGCAAGCACCCTGGCACAGATTTCCAAAATGTGTGTCACAGTCTCGCTTCAGTCCCACACTGCTGGTTAAACTCTTGTACGGTCATCCATTTCTTTTTAATCTTCAGTTGTTTTTTTTTTTTCCCCTCACTGCTTCTCTCTCCCATCTTCCCTCCTCTCTCTCATTCGCTCACTCTTTCTCCTTCACCCTCACATTCTCACCCTTCTTGTGCAAATCCCCCTTTTTTTTAATGCAAGGCTTAGTTATTCATATATGCAAATCAGCCTTAAAGCACAAAGTCATAGAGATTGCCCTACAGACACACTAACACTGCAAGCGCATAGTTCACATTGCGTCACGCCGTGTGTGTGTTGCAGCATGATGAGTGCATCCTCGAGTGTGTGTTAACGCAACGAGCCCTGCCGTTGTAGCAAACTATACTTATCTGCCGTTAATTTCCGACCAGTTTAAGACCATTGATGAACACTTAACCCGTCACAGCAACCAAAAGCCGCACTGCAGCAGCTTCGCCTCTCTTTTCTTTCTCTCTCTCTCCCTCTTTAGCGTCCTTCTATCAAATTTAACACTCCCCCCCTCTCTCTCCCCATCCCCTGCTGTCTCTTGCTTATTTCTCTTTCTCTTGCTCCCCCTGCTGTATCTGCATTTACATTTTTTCCTTTAATTCCATCCCTCTGTTTTCTCAAGTGACCTCCCTTACTCTCTCTCTCTCTTTGTGTTAAAATACAGGGAAGCACGATGAAACCACCCACCCATCACCACCTCTTCTTCTTTTTTTTTTTCAGAAGAAGATAGAGGATAGACCAAAGAAATGTGCATCTGTATGACTCACTGCTGTATGTGCGTGCATTTGTGGTGGAAGGAGGCTGGGAGGGGTGTGTGGAAGGAGGCGAAGGAGGCATTGCGTCATCGGGGGTGTGTTGAGCTGGAGGAGGGCTGAGCCGGCTGTCAGTCAGTGACGCCAGTGGAGCACGTGCGTTGGCTATGGCTTGGAAGACATTGTGCAGCGGTTATCTGGCTGTAGGCGAGGAAGAGCTAGAAACAGCCGCAGCTCCCCGTTGCTGACGGGTTGACCGAGGGAGTGTATGTCTGAGTGTGAGTGTGTGTGAGTGTGTGAGTGAGTGTGTGAGAGTGAGTGAGTGAGTGAGTGAGTGAGGGAGTCTGGGACTGTGTGCATGTGCTGCATGGGCTGCAACCGGAGCTGCTGCTGCTGCTGCTGCTGCTGCTGCTGGTGAATAATGCAGACAGGGGAACGGAGTTTGGATAGCATGCAGGGAGACAGATTAATAATGCATCGTGCCGGTTACAAGCTCTGCATTAGTTAGTTTTTCTGGAACCTGTAGCTGGCTACTATTTGCCTGCCTGCCTGACTCACTGACTCCCCGCCTACCTTTCCTTCCTGCCTGCCAGACTTTCTACCTGACTGGCGGACTGTCTGACTTACTCAGAAAATGTCTCACTACCATTTCATCAAATGTTGTAAGTAGCCGTTCAGCAGCTCTGTATTTGTGCATGCAAAGTGTGTGTGTGTGCCTCAGCCATGGGTGTGTGCCTGTTGTATTAGCACTTACTATATATATACATAGATATATTTAAGCAGCTTGTCTTACTGTGTGCATCCACATGCTTAAGAATTCTGCTCGTTTGCTGCAGACACAGCAGCAGTGTAAACTTCAAATGGGAATTTGTGTCCCCTCAGTGTGTGTGTGTGCAGTAAGTGGGTGTGTGAGCTTGCTGCAGAGAGCCGCTGCTGCTGCTGCAGATGTGTGAAGTTGACCGGTGAATGCGGCAGGTAGCCGCAAAAGGGGAAAAAGAAAGATGAAATGGAGCCACAAAGATCCCATGGTAGCGTCTGGCGTGTTCATATAACACAGTGACAGACTGACAGAGAGAGAAAGTCGCTGCAGAGAGAGGAGGACAGATGGAGAGGAAACTGAGGGTGATTTAGAGGAGCATGGGAGAGAAGGAGGGAATGGCAGGATGGGAAAATGTAAAAGGAGGTGAGGATGGGATGAGTGACATATCAAGAATGCAGCCAAGTGTTGCAAAGAGTGACTTGAACGCTGGAGAGGGAGAGACGCTGATATTTGAGAGTAGCAAGGAAGAAGGGAAAGAGGGAGGATTAAATAAAAAAAAGGGGGGGACAGATGAGTGAGTCCTATGATAGAGGTGATGCAGGCTGTCAAAGTCTTCCTCCTTAATCCATCCCTATCCCTCTCTTTGTGTATCCTGCATATTTATAGTGTCTGCAGTTTCCATCCTCTGTGTGTGTGTGTGTTTGTGTACAGGTGTATGTGTGCTATTTTCTAATTTACAAGCTCCTGCAGTGCTGTCAGTGTTATTAGCTGGAGCCTGCATGGGATGTTCTACATTCAATCAATAACTGATCGCCTGGAGATGGGATGGCAGCAGAGGAAAGCTCCTTGTCTCTCCCTCCCTCTGTCTCTCCGCTCACTGCATCTCTCTCAGATTCATTCAGCCCTATTTCCCATCAGACCTGCCGTCCTTTCCCACTCTCATTCACATTCCATCAATTTGTTCACAGCCATTCATCATACAGTAGCAATTGCCGGTGTTATTTGGCACGGCCATGTAGTGCAGACATTAAGCCTTCCTGTAATGTTTGCTTTCAGAGCAAATTGTGAGCGAACATTTGGACATAATTTGCAAAGTTTAGTTGGAATGACTGTGTTTTCATCAACCAGATCGATGTGAATATGCATATGTGTGTGAAAAATGGGAATTTTTGATGCATCAGGGTTAATTCTAGTTCATCCTTATTGATTGTTGGTGTTTCTATCTAAAACAAGAAGAACAAACAAGAAAAAATGCTCCTGGGAATGTTCTGATAATCAATATTTTCATATCAACACATCATTCGGCCTTTTTCCACTGAGCAGGTTAGGAGAGACTTTTTTCTTTTTTTAGTCACAACCTGTCATCTAAAGCCACATGTAAATTACTGTGCAGCTACTTACAGAAATGGATTTGCCTGACTTTATGTAAATATCATTACTGTAGCTTGCTCAGCTTCTCCTCATATAATCTACTACGTACTCTGTGCACTTTAATTTCTCGTGTGTGAGTAATGCCAGCGCCAGTATGTCATCTCATGTGAGGTCTTCCATGTGCTGGGAGTTTATGGGTTTACGCGACTGTAACCTTGAATGTACGTTTAATAGATGATGTACGAGGGGGACAAAAGGGCTGTGAAGGATGTAAGCGGACAAACCGAGAGTAGATAATGGCCACAGTGAGGGGCAGAGTTGGAGATGGTGCTCACCGCGCTGTCATCATGTGTGACAGAACTGGCGGAGCTGGGGCGCTTACATTTTCTTAGTCTGGCAAATTTGTCACTCATCCTCGCACTCTCACACTTCCCCACTACACCTTCAATGAAGATAAATCATGGAAGAAGACAACGCGACAGTTTCTCATCCTCGTGCTTGCATCCCTGCCTGTTTAACCTCAATGAAGGTTGAAATAATTATTATAATAAATGATTAGTCAGCCGATTATTTAAAAAAAATCATTTCGATAAGTTAAAAGCTCAAGTCATCTAACAGAAATATAAGTATGGCCTGTATCACATCATCATCTGTGACCAGTTCTTTCTCTTGCGTAAAAGTGAATGATTGATTGTTTAATCAAGAAAATAGCTTTTCCGAAGTATCGACTATATATCACCAGAGAGCTCTGTGCTCACAGTCATCGGAGGGCGCGTGCTTGTACGTGTGCATGCAGATACATTTTGCTTTATGCACCATAAACGGTAATAAATTCTGCCCTTGATGCACTGATTTTTTTTGTGGCCTTGCAGTAATCTGTGTGTCAGTGTACTGTGGATGAGGCCAACTTGTGCCAGTGCACTCACTTCAGTAGGTGTCTGCTATGGAGACAAACTGAACACACTCCACATCAGGACTTAAGAGAAGGTGGGAGGGCGGATTTTATGTGAGTTGAAGAATAAATGAGGAGAGGGGGAGCTAAGGATGCTGGACAGTAGAGAAACAGAGGGGTATGGAAATAGAAAAAAGCAGCAGTTTGAGTGTGTTTTTGTGTTTATATATGTGTGTGTGTCTGCTCATGCGGCAGCCAGGTTCCTAAAATAAAATACAGTTGAAGCACCTGGCATGAACAGGTGCTTTGTGCCGCCCCCACCCCTCCCCTCCACCCTCTCTTGTCTGGAACCTGAATACAAAAGAACAGTTTTTTTTTACATGTCTAACCAGAGCAGATGGCACCAATGTATTGTGCAGGAGGTGTGTGTGTGTGTATATGTGTGGCAAAACCAGGGTGGAGGGGGCAGGTGTTTGAATGAATGTGTAAATGTACTGTATATCAAACAGTAAAAAAAAAAAAAAATAGGCACATTGAAACACAGCCGCGCCTTTTGTCTGCTTGGATGTCTTTGTCTCTGTCTGATAAAGATCTAGTCCAAACACACCTAAGCCCCTACAGATGGGAAACTGCTGTATGAAGTAGAGTCTATGGGTGCACTCGTGTCCGTTGAGAAACTGTTGAGGACATCTTTTGTTGTTGTGTTGCATTTCGCTCCTGAATGTTAACATTGTTCAAAGCTAAGCTCCAGACTAAAATTTCACACCAGTGCCAGCAAGTCTCTCAGATGTGAGCACCAACGCCAGACTTGGCGACACTGCTTCTATTATGCGGCATAATGTTTAAAAAAAAAAAGACAGTGTATTGTCCTAGAAACGTCTTTGATTCCTTTACTATCAGATTTAAGTGTATTTTTTGATAAATTTAAGGGCGAGAGAGACTTTTGTGAGATAAAGTGTGGAGAATAGTGCAAAACCCAGATCACAGACAGATGGTCAAGAACAAACAGGACAAATACCCCTGGGCAACATTTTAAAAACTAATAGTTTATCAGTTGCTGGTCTTCTAGAGAAGATTTTGTGATTTGATTTCAGCAAAAGGCATCTCCTCTTTTACGATGTGGTATGCCATGCTGGATTTGGCACGCCACTCGGCTTTCACACTCGCCAGGCTAGTTCCCTCGACGCTGACAGCTTGTGGGAAGAGAATCTGCTTTTCAGGGAATGCAATAGTGCGGCGTGCAGTTTTAAAGTTTGTTGGGGGCTCTCCCAAACTCTCCCATGACTCTCCCGCTTTCTCTGCATCGCCTTGTAGCTCATCTGCCTTGGAACTCGATCGCATGTTACCAGGAGTCTTACACGATGAGCTGCTACTACTAATGTGAGCTGTTGTTGGTGAGATACAGATGGCTGACAAATAGGAAAAACCTGAACCATGGACTCCTACAGTGAGGGGATCCGGTTAAACTGTGGGGGGCATTTATCTGAGTTCACTTGTACCCTGAGAGGGAGTCACTGAACGGTTTGATGAACATGAAAATGATGTAAATCGTATATTATGGCCCAGTTGAACACCTATGGGTTATTCTGTGTTAAGCTGTGCTCTTCACCACCATCACCAAAGCACACAATGAGAGAATAATACTATTCTGGCAGCACATATTGGCCCAGCACCTTAACAAGTTTTTGTTTTTCTTTTCATTTGTCACCCAACTGCACGTTTACCCTTATGAGCATATCTGCGGCCTATGGCTGTATCTCTGACAACCAAAGTGAAAAGTCCCACAACAGATGTGATTTTTTTTTCTAAACACCTTTTTATTCCCACAAAAAAAGCACCTTTAACTGAATCGTTGGCAAAAACCTGATCAGTCAGTCATCGTCAAGAGCCCTGCAATAAAAACATGCATCTCAGGGTTATTTTAAGACACGATGAAGTAATGCGAAAGAGACAGGCAACACGACGTGCTTCAAAAGCGTCCCTCTGACAATACCTCTCACCTGATGAACAAGACTGATGCGTGCTTATTCACCCTAAAAAAAGAAAGTAAGAGATGCTTGAGATAAAGAGCACTACATTCAAGCAGATCATTGAATAGGAAAAAAAAAAAAAAGCTCCAAGGAGGGTAGAATCAAAACAAAATGGGCACAAAAGGACAAGAGCAGCAACAAAAAAAACAGCAAAGTTGAGGTTGATAAAAGAAGGAATGAGATACAGAGACAGCAGGTCTAAAGAGACATGATTCGGTAAGAGAAACACAACACGCTCTGCCTCTGCAAAGGCATCCTCCTCGTCTTATTTTGCTTGTCCTCTGGGCTGGCGATGACCTGAATTTGTCAAATTATCAGTGCTATCAATGCCAGATTCCACTCTTAGCCTACACATAGAATTCCTCCTTCCTACACTACCTCATGCCGTATTTTTTTTCTCAATAGCGTGCACCTCTCTGGCTTTCTGCATGAGCTCGCTTCTCGTTCGAAGCCCACCTGCTGCACAATCGCTGTACATCCTAATCATCCGAGCAGACCCTAATAGGTTCAGCAGCTGCCTTGTGATGAGATCTGTTTGGCTGCGTTCCACCGAGAGGCAGGGAGATTATGCACAGTCAGGAGAATTGCTGCACTCTGTCGGGACAGGAGAAACAACACATAAAATGCTGTGAAGCCTCACTCAACGCACCCCGGGGCTAAACCGACAGCAGATATCTCTTACAGTAAATATGCTAAACGATTGCCCACACGCAACTGGGCAGACTGCTGACATGGACATGCACTGCATACATGCACATAAAACAATAGCATAAAACACACAGTCGCGCCTGGAGGTGAACCTGACAGTGTTTTATTATACGATCCTGTTCTCATTAGCTCAGAGTCTATAGAGGGAAAAATTAGGGATTGTGATGTTTTCACTGATTGACCAGATTTCCTTCCTCACTCCTTGCATGGACAGCTTGCCATCAGAGCTTGAATGAAAACAAATAATGTGTATGTGAATTGCATTTAGTGTTATGCAGCTGTATCATTTTCTGACATTAAACATCATTATCTCTCTCTCTGTCTTTCCCTCTAGGTTGTTTCCAGCTATGTAATGTCTTTCGTCAGAACATGGAGATAGACCAGTGTCTGCTGGAGTCTCTTCCCATTGGCCAGCGCCAGCGGCTGGTCAGGAGGATGCGCTGCGACCAAATTAGGGCTTACTACGAGAGGGAAAAGGCCCTTCAGCGGCAGCAAGGTGGGATCAAGGTTCGAGCCCCGACCGCCCACCGCAAGAAGCATCGAGTCCGCTTCAGCCTCGCCGATGTCATGCAAGACGCCATCATTCACCATGACGACAAAGAAGGTGCGTATGTGGGGCATGGATACTAGTTTTGCCATGTTTTTTTTCCTCCTATATTGAAGGGTCACACACACATGCAGCAGCAGTGGACCAAATCAGTGCTGCTCACTGCAGGTCACACAGTTTGTTCTGCTGAAAGCTCTCCACTTGACTGAAAGGAACACACTGAAGCTTTTATCCTCGTGCAGTTTTCAAGGACAAAAATACCTCAGCAGAGATGATAATTTCTGACGCTGAGAGGAGCCCAAACTGCAGTTCCGCAGACTGGAAGTCACTTTTTCTTGAACTCGAGGGGAAAACAAACCCATTTGCTTTTGTTTTCTGCTACCTGTATATGTTCAGAGGCGCTGACAGGGCGGCTTGAAATGCTCTTCAAAGCGAAACGAATGCTAAAAATAGCGAGACAATATACGATCCGACAGCCCGTTTGGTTTGCTAGACTTGGCTGACACGGCCATGGATAGTTGCTGGTTTGTAGGATTAATATTGCATTGTTTACGGTTTCATGTGTGCTCATATTTGCAACACAAACACAAAGTGATGAATCATAACATGAATACCGGGCACTGTTTCAGCCATTCAGTCTTTTGTTTCAAACAGCTGGTAGCCCGCCAATACCCAGTGTACTCCATTGATTTGTGTTACCGATAAACACAGACGACCTTGAGGATGAAAATAGTCCAAAAAAAAAGACGCAGCAGAGCATTTAAAAATGGTTTCTTTCGTCTTACTTCAGTTTTTCTGTGCTTTTCTGTGCCTGTTTTTGTGTCTGAGGGGTTCTTTGTTTCTGCCAGCGTATCTGTGTGAAGTGCACATTTGTTCATTTTTTTTCACTGTCAGTCGGAGTTAAAGGACTTTGCAAGCTTTTCTCTGCCCTCAGGCCTCGGGTTTAAGGAGGATCTCACCCTGTGAAAACACACTCAGATACTCAGTTTGTGTGATATCATTTAGTCAATAAATTCGTGAGATTTAGAGGGACTTCACACCTGACTCTAAAAGGCGCTGATTTTCGTCCAACCTCCCCCCCGTCTTCCTGTCTGTCCGTGACACTCATTTGCCAGTCATTTACCCAGCTGTCCGGACGTATCTGTGCCAGTCCCTACCAGCAGCCTTTGCAGGTCAGTGTGTTAATCTCTGCTCCCTGGCTGCGAGTGAGATTCATCTGGGGTCTGTGGGAGCAGCTGGTGTGCCATTGCAACAGCCAGGCTGAAAACAGGGCGCCTTGGCTTGGCATGAATCAGACACTCCTCTGCCTAATCACTCCACCGTGGCACCAAACTGGTACCGGGCTACCATTTGTTTTGCTATGTGAAGGCCTTCCGACCTTTTGGTGCTGTGCAAGGCAAGAACTGGATCTAGATTAAACGAAGTAGTAGACTCATGCACACAAGTCTCTGCGTGAGCGACAGACTCTGTCAGTCAAAGGACTGCTTGAAAGCTTTAGTGTCTGTTCATGTCAGACTTACTTCTGCATCTATTTCTTTGTGAGGACTTGTGGATCTGTTCAAACCACTTGGAGGTAATGCTAGGTTTGGCTGGATCAGCACTCCATCTTGACAATGGTTCTTAAGTAGTCTTTAGTGGTGCTAGTGTTTTTTTTTTTTTTTCCACAACACTACCACTGCAGAAGCATTTTGAGAGAAAAAGGAATGTGTACCAACATGTGTTGCATTGAGAGCCTATAGAGACGAATACGGTGGTGGTGGTAACTCAAGGACAGTGCCAGGATAACTCAGTGTTTTGCCTGGAAAGCATACTGCTGCAGGAATACAATCTGTGATGCTAATTTCCTGATGATTGCCTGATTTTATGATTCAAGCAGTTTTATCACATTTATATCAAATATGACGATCAGAAAAATGCATCAGTTTCTTGATTATTTTATACTTTCAGTCCTACCGCTGAAGCTGCATGTCATGGATCCCTTCAAGGCATTGAAGCTGTGACTGATGACGACTGTGTCTAAACAGCTCAGGCTAATGGAAATAAACGCCTTGCAGCAGATAGACAATTAGATCTTTAACATTGCGTTATCTTGCTGCATGGCTACAGAAATATATATATATGTATAGATATATCGATATAGATGAACAGCCACTCATAGACAAGGACATACAAACAAGCACAGCCACAAAAGGATTTATTTTCTTATCATTTGTCTTGTACTGGATGTAAGATGAAGGAAAACGAGATAAAGAGCTAGCGGGGAATGGTGAACACGGTGGAGAAAATGAAAAATTGGAAAGCGAAAGAAATTGAACAGCAGCAGGAAAGAAGCATCGGGTTAGGAAGGATATTGTAGGTTTACAGTAAAAAAAAAAAAAAAAAACAAATAGCACACAGCCCTATGGTTAGATAGGAGCATATACTACGCCTCATCTGCCTTCTCCATTCCTATCTGTCATATGCAAACATCTGGCACAGCTGCATTTTGACATTTGGTGGAATTGCTTTTCCACCCAAACCAATCTCTTAACTTCATCAAAGTGAGGCACATATGGAAGAGCAGCAGCTGTAACCATGAAACCTACGATCAGTTTGTTTTTTATTTATTTTGTCTTCCTTTTTCAATAGTGATTGATATAAAATTACACTTTGTGTCTCTAACTAAGATGATGACTACTGGCAAAAGATGATGTGAACACATTCTGAGTGACATAAATAGTTCAGCAAATTTTAATAGAGGTTTGCATCATTTAAAGTAAATTTAAGACGACAGTGTTTCTGACTCATCTGATGCTGATGTAACATCTGCTAACAACAGTCTGATCTCAGCACTTACCATCACATAATTAAAATTACCCAGTGAGGAACGTTTCAAAAACCCATCTTGTAATGGCTCCAGTGCTGCGATCTGCTCGAGTTTGCACCTGTTTTCTTTGGTGCTATCTCACGTCGATAAATGCAAAGATTTAGTTTCTGTGTTATAAGGATTTGTTGCTCTGTGTTCATGTATGTGCATGTTTGTGTTTTGTTGTTGTTATTAAAACCACACTCGCATCTCTAGAACGTTCGATCAGTCCTACACTTTGGCCCAGAGGGGAAAAAAAAATCTCAACAACCATTGGATGAGTAGCCATGAAAGACATGCATGATCCCCAGAGAACGAATCCTACATCTTTGTTTCTCGCCTGACTTCTTTTTATCTCGCACAGTCCTCAAGTCAAACCTCAAAGTTTTCCCCACTGGCAGTAGTACTACACAACCATCAGTGTTGGTATTCTCTTCAGTGGGGACATGTATACGTATAGTTGGTGGTCTGCGCTTGTGCTGTGTGTCGGTTCGGTGTGCAGTTTATGGAAGTGTAATTACTGTTTGAAGTGTGTCTGAAAAGCCACCCTTCATTATTGATCAGTGTGTATGGATCCATCCTGCAGGCGAAGCAAAGGGACTCATACTCCAATCACTTTACCACAGTGTGGAAATGAAGCGAGTTAGAGGTAGTAGTAATGGAGTTTTGGAGCGTTGCTTTAGAAACATAGCATGCCTGAAGTAACAAAAACAAAAACAACACCATGTGTGCCATATGCAGTGTTATATGTTGTAATTTGCGTCGAACCAGATGAGTGCAGCAAAGCGTCTGTACAAAGTTTGAACAGCGCTGTTGATTGTAACCCCGAAATGCCTCTTAACTGTGAGGAATCCTGTGAAAACTGCTGCAGCCAGTAGTGAAAACAGAGCAATATTTGAATGCTCAATCAGTGAATTTAAATGAACTTTGCATGTCTTCCAATAATATGAAGGAGCATTAAATAAAAATGCTCAGAAATACCAAGAAACTGTATCTTTCTCATTACATGCACTGTGTTTTTGAGTATCTCTGAGGCTTACAAGTCTGTATTAATGCTGTGTATACGTTGGTGGAAACCTTCAGTCTTGAAGTTATCAGTTAGCCTTCCATCCAAGTGTAATCTCTCCAGATGATAAAACTCAAACCAGAGAGGGAAGAGAGAGAAGTAAGTGAATATGGATGTAAGGGGAATACACTGATATTTCTCTGCAATACACCATGCTGGGATTAAAGGCATGTCAAACACTTGTCATGTTCCTGACAGAACAGGGTCTAGACCCACAGAGGTGCAAAGAATGATATCTTTATTCATTTATTTATTTATCTTTTTTTTGGCGTGGGCTTGGTTTGCCTCTATCCAAATAGTGCAATGAGAAGAGACAGAAAATGTAGAGAGAGAAATCAGGGGAATGACATGCAGTAAAGATTTTGCCAGCTGACAAACAAAACCAAGGACTCACTGCTGGCGGCATTTGCGCCCATGCGCCCCAACCGCTCGGCTTTCGGGTCGCACGCGTGTCATAATACCGTCTACTTTAACTGCGTTTAAAACCTCATGAGTCTCCCTTAATGTCAGCTGCGTCATCCGACAGTGCGCCGAGACTTTTCTCTGGTGTTTATCGGAGCTTCTAATATTAAACTCTCGGTTCATTTGATGAGTCATCGCTGTTCCTTTAGAGGTTTGGCCGCACAGGTTAATATGAGAGGGAGCGAAAAGGGATGAAAGAGAGTGTGGAAAAATAAAAGTGGTTTGTGAACTCATTTTCTCGCTGAGGTCTGCAGTGCTCAGTTTGAAGTCGAAATTCAATTTAGATGTTTCCATCTATGTTTGAGCATTTTAATTAACGAAGAAGGAGAAGTGTATAATAACACTTTTTCCCCAAATACAGCCGGCCCTGGAAACTGATTAAAACACGCTCACTTTGCAGTCCTAGTTTCCCTTTACTGCTCACAAACAAGCAATTACATTTTCTGTTTATAGACTGCAGGGTTTTATGAGGAGACTTAAAGTACATAATAGAAAAAATAGACACAGCAATGAAATATCCACCGACTTATCCAACGCTTGCTCGTCTGTGAGGAACACTGCAGCCACAGTGCTGCAATGCAATGTACAGTATGCAGTATACTACAATACAGTGTGTGTGGATAAAAGACAGGAATCGAATAATAATCAATTTACTGTTCAAACAAGCTCATCAGAGGCTATTTT